CCCCGCGGCCTCGAAGGGGCTGAAGCCGGCCAGCGAAGGGCGCGACACCCCCTCGCCTACCAAGCCGGCCCAAGGCACCCTCTCGACCAGCCCTCCAACCCCCCCACTCACCCACCCACCCCCGGTTACCAGGGTTCCCGGGCATATTCCTCCATAGCTCCCGGCCGTAGGCTCGGCGGCTCATGTGAAGAGGAAGAAGCGCTCGGCTGAGTCACGTGACCAATGCCTATTGGCCGGTGCGTGCACGTGGCAAGAGTCGAATGCTCTCGAGCTTCGGAAGGTAACTGAAGGTTCTTACGTCAGTCGCTCGTTGGTCCCTGAGGTGGAAAGTACGGAGGGGGCGCGGTTTTCGAATGCTCTGATTGAGTACTGAGTAACACGAGAGGGGGAAGTTACAGCGCACATTGGAAATGTCAAAAGATCGCGTGGGACTCTGCTTTTATAACCGTAGTTTCCAACGTTCATGTTTTACTTCGGCCAATCAAAATACATGGAAAGGCCGGGGTCAAACGAGGCTGTTAATCCGCAACGCGTCTTCCGTCACTACCGGAGGAGCAAACCAGCCTCTAATAGGCTAAGAGGGCGCCGAAGGGGGTGGACTCAATTAAGTCTTCTTCCCTGGGATTGGTTGGTTGGTTTTTCATTTAATGATGAAATCCCACAAGGAGTGGAAAGGCCCGGTAGGAGGAGTTCTGTTGGGCCGCGGATTGGTGGAAATGTGTCACGTGCAGGTGACTCTCTAGGAGCAACAGGAGCTGCTTTGAATCCGGTAACGTGAAGGCTACCTGCCAGGTGACGGAGTTTTCTTGAGCGTGTACGTGGGTGGGTGACTCTGGGGCGATAAGAAGGTGAGACCGAAGAACTATAGAGGTATAAACTGAGACTGAGTGCTCACTGAGAGTTAAAACTGTCTGAGCTAAGAGGTTTCCATGGATCACTTCTTGCACAAAAACAATGATATAAATACAACCCCATTGTGTAAATGTTCCGAACTCTGGGAGTTTTAAAAATAGGATAAAGTGTGTTACAGATTAAAAGAATTCTCTGTTTTGTGGTCTTCCATTCCCATATGCGGATGGAATATAACTCTTTTTTAAATTCACGTTTAGAATAAATAAGATCATTTTATATGGAAGCCTGAGTCAGCTAGACTAGAATTGTTCTTCCTCATGTGAAAATTCTATGGAATGAGCATTTTGGTTGTACACAGTCCTGGCAGTAGTCTGAAATGGTGTGGCAGCAAATTTATCAGCTTTGTAAGAATTGGACCCAGAACATTTCTAAGATACAGGCTAGATGAAATTACAAAAACGAAATGTATCAATCTTAGGACAACAGTGTTGCAGCAGATAAGAGTCTCGGTTACAAAGATAAATGATAGTATCTCTTTTAGTACTCAGGGTATGTTCCACAATGCACAGGACATAAAGTGGCAGGTCTGATTACTGGGTTTACAGTTACATCCAGTGGCTAAGAGAGAAAACAGATTAGGATTGATAAATGATTATAAGAGTGCAGATTTAAGAGAATCAAATGGTAGTGGAGGTGACTGAGTGGTTCTGGATGTGGTTCTGGATGTGGCCTGCTAAAAGCATAGATGAAAGGAACTGGAGAAAAGAAAAAGTATTTAACAACATTGTTAAATAAATGTAATTAACTAAATTAAGTTGTTAAATAAAACTTTGGCAAGAGACTACTGGCCTGGTTGCAAGGAGAATGTAAGAAAAATCATGTAAATAGGAACTGTAAAGTTTATGGCTTAACTGCAACAGGGATGCTATTAGGGCTTTTAGGGAAATATGCATAGAAATGTTAAATAGGAGTTGGCAGCCCGTGGGCTTCATGAAGTCTCCCAGGCACATTTGCAGCTCCCGCATTCCTCCCCTCTGCCCCCATCTCATCAAATTTAATGACTAAGGAAAATGGTCTTGACAAAGATACGTGGGAGCTGTTGCCTAGGCAAAAGAGGTTGAAGCATTTTTAAAGCCCAGAACAGCCAGATAACATTCAGAAGTGACTCAGACAAACACCTCCTTAATTCACTGAATTAAGAGGAGGAGGAGGTACTTGCAAGTCAGACTTGCAAGTTTTCTGTTATAATAGCCAATCTCAATAAAAGTAGTTTTAGCCTTCTTATGGAGTTGATTTCCTGGTCTGGTTCATCTAGTGGGGCTGACGCTAAGCTATCTATTTTATGGGTCAAGAAACTCATTAATTCCAACTTCTGAATAAGTTCGTGAGAGGGAGTCAAATACGTTGTTAAAGACTTCACTTGATTCCTAGAGAAATGCATGTAGACAGGAAGAAGAAAAAAAGAAAGGTGTAAAGCAGCTATTGCCTCAGAGTGGTGCCCTGATGGTTTATATCTACCATCATCCATAGAAGTTGAATCCCACATATTCTGAGAAATAGTATTAAAGAATTCTGCTGTGAAAACTTATGGGGTAGTGTGCACATTCTGGAAAGAGTAGTGATAAGAGCTAAATGTAATGTGTGACATTTTTCTCTCTCCTCAGGTATAGAAAAGTGATCCGAAAGGCAATATTTGCCCACTTGCTCCATTCTGATGCCTCTGCCAGTGGCACTGCAGTCTCGTCTGGCCAGGCGAGGCCTGCTGAAGCATGTAGAACCTGGTAAGTACAGAATTTTTTTTTCAGGAAGAAGATAACTTCTGTAGGCAGACTGTAAAACAAGGATAGGCATCTGGAACGGTACCCAGGAACTAGAGCTGGCTAGTTCCCAAGTGATTATTTTGGCTCTCTAAAATTGGTACCCATTCTGGATTGTGCATTTTTGCCACCTGTTGACCCCATCTTTTTTTTCAAGCCTGATCCTGTTTCTTTCCACATAAGAGCCAGAAGAAGAAATAATTGCAGAAGATTATGATGATGATCATGTTGATTATGAAGCCACAAGGATGGAGAACCTGCCACCAAACTGGTACAAAGTCATCGACCCTGTTTGGTAAGCATATAGTGGGTACTCAGTATGCCCTGCTAATGATTTCCATCAGAGTGCTTTTAGTCTGTGCTTGCAGGATTGGTTTCAGTATTCATCAGTGGCCTGCCTTGTCAAGGAGATATTTCTGGTTCTGTTAGCTGGTCTCCGCAAACTCTGGTAAACCTGGCGGAGGAAAGATTTAGTGCTTCTAGAAGGCTACCATGTGCTGTCTAGCCATTACTGAGTTGGCAAACATTTTAGCATTTTTCATATCTCCTGTCCAGCAGAGTAATGTGTTTCATTTATTTATTGCTGCAACATATGTGGCTCCATTTCTAGAGACTTATTATGGCATACAGTATTAATATCATAGTATTTAAAAACAAAAATCAATTAAAATAACATGGGAGTAGCATGATCTGACTGTCCCTAGCTTTTATGGCTCTCTGAAGAAGGAGGAGAAAAGAAGGGGTGGTCCAGTCCATATTTCCAGGAGTAAGCTGTTTTGTCATGATCATATGGTAGATGGCATTTATTAGGTTGGGGGAATTTTCTGTGTCTTAATAGTTTGATTACGTTACATAGTTTGGAGTCAGAATATTATATCAACCCATGAATTGTGTTAATCATGATGACGATGTGCCATGAAGTTGGTGTTGACTCTTAGTGACAACATAAATAGATTCTCTAGGATGATCCTAACTTGGTCCTTCAGGCCTTCCAATGGTGCACCTATTGCTGCTGTAATTGAGTCCATTCAGCTTGCTGCTGGTTATCCTCTTTTCTTTCCTTCCACCTTTCCCAGCATTGTAGACTTTTCAAGATAGCTAGGTCTTTGCGTAAGGTGTCCAAAATATGATCATTTGTGCCTTGTGAAAATTCTGAATTGATATGTTCTGTGATCCATTTGTTTCTTAGATAGCTAAGAAAACAAACAAATGGATCAGAGAACATATCAATTCAGAATTTTGCTTTCATAGAGTGTCACAGGGAAAATCATTGCCTGCATGATTTTGATTTTTGTAGGTATAGACACATCCCAGAATCTGAATATCTTCATGGCTATTCTACCAAGTCCTAGACTGCTGGTTCCTTTACTGTTGATAGTGAATCCTAAAAGCAAGAAGCTGTCCACCACTTCAATATCTTTAGTGTCAATTCTAAGGCTGGTTGCTGTACATAGTGTCATTAGTTTTGGTCTTTATATTTGATCTTAGTTCCATTTTTTTCCTCTGTGCTCCTTCACTTTCATTACTAGAACTTGCAGATTTTAATTTTTTATTTTATTTTATTTGCATTTTCAGCTAACAAAATAGTGTCATCAGCGTTAGCACAGGTTATTGTATTCCTTCCACCAATTTTAAAACCACACATCTTCCAATCCAGCCTCCCTCAATATTTATATTCAACATATACTATAAGTTGAATAAATAAGGAAAGAGTATACAGCTTTGTCGAACACCTTTACCAACCTGAAAGCAGCCTATTTAGCCATGTTTCATCCACATTATGGTTTCCTGACCTGCATATAAGATTTCACATGAGGACAATGAGAAGTTCTGGAATTCCCATTTTCTTGTATACATTCCACAGCTTGATATGGTTAACACAATTGGAGGCCTTTCTATAATCACTGAAGCACATAATTACTTCTTTTTGGATTCTTTGGCTTTCTCAGTTTTCCGTTGTACAGCAGTGATTGTGTCTGTTGTTCCTCATCCTTTTCTAAAGCCAGCTTGAATATCTGGCAACTCCCTTTCCATAGAGAAGTCTAAATTGTATTAGATGTTCCTGAGCATTATTTTATTAACATGTGAAATTAAGGACATTGTACAATAGGTTGTACTTTCTCTTAAGTCTGTTGTCTTTGGTATTAGTATTTAGACTGACTTCTTCTAATCTGTTGGCACTGTTGTTCTCCAGTTTTGCTGGCATAGTATGTTTATATTACATAAGTATAAATATATTATATATTTATAATATATAAATATATAAATACTATATATTGTATTTATATTATAATACTTTACATATTCTTTTTCTGTCGTTTGCCATATTTCTGTAAAATTTCCATCAGCCTTCTGACTTGTTAATGATTGCTGATCTGACTTCATTTTCTACTACTAGAGGTTCTTGTAAGTAAGACAGTATCTTCTAAGGTGTCTTGGATGTTGACATGTCTGCTGTACCGAATTTCTGTACACTCCTTTATCTTTGTTTGATCTTTGAATTAGTCCATTCTTTAGCATACCAGTTCAAGGTTGGGACCCCTTCTGAGTTGAGAGATCTTTTGAAAGACGTCCTTGTTTTTTTGTGTCTGTTTCCATCTTCAGCTGGTGCTCTAACTATCCTGGATTTTTTGAGTAGTATGGTGTAGTAGTTAAGGTGTTGAAATAAAACCAAGGAGACCCAAGTTCACATCCCTCAGCCATGAAGCTCACTGGGTGACTTTGTGTGATGGAATGGTGTTATGAAGGCCACGCTCAGGGAGATAAGCGTTTCCTTAGCCCTC